CCCAGCCAGGAATCCCTTCCCAATCTCCCCCCTAACCCTGGGCAGCCATTCCCTGGGTGCTGTCCCTCCAGCCCTCATCCCAAATCCCTCTCCAGCTCTCCTGGAGCCCCTTCAGGCCCTGCAAGGTTCTCCAAGGTCTCCCTGGATCCTTCCCTTCTCCAGGGGAACATTCCCAGCTCTCCCAGCCTGGCTCCAGAGCAGAGGGGCTCCAGCCCTTGGGAGCATCTCCCTCACCCTTCCTTCGGCCCTGGTGACAACCATCAACCTCCTCCTCTTCCTCGGAACCCTGGAATCCCCACAGCACCCCAGGCCACCCAAGTGTGGGGCCGAGACCCCACATCCACGCAGGGAACCTGTGGATCTCCGAGCTCTGCAGCCCTGGGGAGTTCTCTCAGCTTGGGGCTTCCTTATCCCAACCCCAAACCCCGGGAGAAGTGGGAAACGTGTCCCCTTCTCCCTGTGCCTGTGGCTGGTGTTGATGAGCAGCTCTTTATGGGGCTGGAAGTGGGAATTTGCTGGGAAGTCTCCAGTTTCCCCCTTCCAGCGGTGCCTCCCACGAGCTCTGCGTGGGGAGGGGGTTGTCGCTCCCAGTCAGAATTCTGCACCTTCCCCGTGTGCTCCCACACTTAATCCACGTCTCAGCAGCTTCCGAAATCCAACCCCGCTGTCATCCCCGGCCGGGCCGTGCCGGGCGCTCTCGGTGTGTGCTTTGGAAGCGCCGGCTCCCGCCGCATCTGCTTTCGTTTAGCCCCGCTAACGAGCACCTTCCAGCCCCGGGTGCTCTCCCTGCTGTCCCTGCCGTCCTTCCACATCCATCTCCTGCATCCCCCAGAGCTCCTCCAGCTCACCCCCAGCACGGAGAGCAGGTCCGTGGGCCGGTGACCCTCGGCCCCGGGTCAGGCCGGAGCTCCAGACCCGGCACGGGCTCGGGAATTGTGAAAATCCTGGGGATTTGGGACTGGGGCAGCGTCCCAGCCCCTGACTCTGCAGCTCTCCCACAGAGCTCCCAGGATGTCCCACTTTGGGATGTCCATCGCTTCCCAGCCCTGGCAGGGCAGCAGAGCCCGGGGCAGGAACCTTCTCCCGGGGATTCCAATCCTGGAATCCCTCACTGTGATCCATCCCCTGCTTTAGGACCTGTGGAGGGGGGGAGGACTCGCTCCCATTCCCTGCTCCAAGGCTCTGCTGATCCCTTTGGATCCTGCCTCCCTTTGGATCTTCAGATCCCCCCTCCCTGCAGAGCGTGGGGTGCTCGGGATGGCATTCCTGACCCCAGGGTCTGTGCCGGACCCTCTGGGATCCCACTCCTCTGGGAAGCACTGCTGGGGGTGCAGAGACCCCCCCACCCTCAGAGCTGCTGGATCAGGACTGTGGTCACCCGGGGGGCTCGGGGGGTGTCCTGGTGCCGGATCCCGGGATCCCCAGGATCCCAGGAACGCCGGGATGGGGGCGGGAGGGCCGCGCGTGCCCCCTCCCCTTTTCCCCTCCACGTGGACCGGATATTTTCAAGGGAAGAATCTTTCCTACGGGGCTCTCCGGCTGCCAGGAATGTGCGTCTAGGAATGCCCAGGGCCCATCCAAGAACAACTTCCAGACGTGCGGCTGAGTGACGGCAGAGCCGGGCGAGGTGTGTGACCGCGGGGGCGGGAGGGGCTGCGGGAGCCGCTGGAGCCGCCCTCTGGAGCTGGAGCTGCAGCTGGAGCCGCCCTCTGGAGCTGGAGCTGCAGCTGGAGCCGCCCTCTGGAGCTGGAGCCGCCCACTGGAGCTGGAGCTGCAGCTGGATCCACCCTCTGGAGCTGGAGCTGCAGCTGGAGCTGGATCTGCCCACTGGAACTGCCCGGGAAACACTGGATGGGACGGGAGGGAGCGATCCCTGCTCTGAGCTGGAGGGGCAGGGATCCCACTGGGGGGGCAGAATGTGGATCCCACTGCTGTGGGGATGTGGATCCCACTGCTGTGGGGATGTGGATCTTGCTGATGTGAGGATGTGGATCTTGCTGGTGTGGGGATGTGGATCTTGCTGATGTGAGGATGTGAATTGCACTGCTTTGGGGATGTGGATCCCACTGCTGAGGGGGACATGGATCCAATTGCTGAGGTGGGACATGGATCCCATTGCTGAGTAGAGACGTCCCCACTTCCCCATGTCATCACCAGGGCATCCCTCTGGATCCCTGTCCCCATCCTGGATATCCATCTCCATCCCTGTCCCCATCCTGGATATCCCTCTCCATCCCTGTCCCCATCCTGGATATCCCTCTCCATCCCTGTCCCCATCCTGGATATCCCTCTGCATCCCTGTCCCCATCCTGGATATCCCTCTCCATCCCTGTCCCCATCCTGGATATCCCTCTCCATCCCTGTCCCCATCCTGGATATCCCTCTCCATCCCTGTCCCCGTGGCATCTCCAGGGATCCCAGGAGGTCCTGGCTCAATCCCAGCACGTCCCACTCCGGCTGTGCCTGGAATGATGGACGGCCCCGTCCCCCTCCCGGGGGGCTCCCCAGGTGTTCTCCAGGTGTTCTCCAGGTGTTCATGGTGACCCCTGACTGCGGAGTGAGGGGGCACAGGTCACCCTCACACCCCTGCCCTGCCTGGAACTGGGACGGGGCTGGCGCTGGGATGGGCTGGGAGTGGGATGGGGGTTGGGATTGGGATGGGGGGCTTTGCCTCCTGCAGCACCAGCACAGCCAGGAGAGGCCACAGGGTCCTCACCCCAGACTCTGCATCCCAAGGAGCAGGATCCTGAGGGAATCCTCACCCCCTGCTGCACATCCCGAGGGGCAGGATCCTGAGGGAATCCTCACCCTGAGGAGCAGGATCCTGGAGGAATCCTCATCCCCTGCTCCCCATCCTGAGGGACAGGATCCCAAGAGGATCCACATCCCTTTCTCCACATCCCAAGGGGCAGT